ATGCAAGCTAACCTGACAGAGACCCCTTGAATAATAATGATCAAGTATGATCAGCAGATCCTCAGGAAACACATGGCTCTGATCAATAGGAAACAAACAAAGGCTGAGATCAATAGGTCACTCATCCAGAATAGTTCTGCTCTGTTCAGCACATAGATCTGCAGAGAGCAGATGTTGCACGCCAAGATGTCATTTTTATAAACAGAAGAGCTTACTGACATTTAAAGCACAAGCGTGTTTAGTTTCTGGGTCTGGACAGCTTTATCTTCACACCGCTGCTGGTCCTCCCACCCCCATCACCCCCGCCTCCCCAATCAGAGGCTAAGCATCAGTGTTGGAGCAGACAGATGTGGTGCTTGGCAGCACAAAGCCATGCTGACATGGTCCATTGAAGCATTTGTCAGGGTCCTCTGGGAGCCCAAGCAGACCACTGACCACTGAACAAATGAAGACACACACACACACACACACTCACTCACTCCCCCTGCTTCTGACTTGCACATCCTGAGCCTCATGGGATTCAAATGAAGGCGACAGAAGATCGACCCCGAGGCTCTTTGCTTTTCCTTTCTTTCATCTGGTCTCCTCTCAACTTCATCAGTGTCAACAGGACTCAAAGAATTCATTTTCATTGGGCGGACATTTTGATAAGCAAAAAAAAAAACAGGGCGGGACTCAGAAGGTGAGTGTTTAAAGTGTTTTAAACAATAAAGCAATCATTTGATCATTTGATTATCCAGAATTGGTTCACGTTTAAAATAAAAATAAGGAGCCTCGTGTTGTAGCTAAATAATTTCCTCTACTGTCATATATATGTCATATATACAATATGAGGGGTAACAAACTAAATATATGGCGCTTTATTTCTGTTAAGTGTATATTGACTTAAGTTCCTCTACCTCTATACTTTGAAATTGTATTTCAAAATCTTTTGATATTGTAAACAATTTTCCATCCTAAGTTTAAAGCTATGAAAAAATCAAAATATCTATGCTTGTGTTTAGTGCAAAGGTTAATTAAAATAAACTTGCACTTTTTGAAAACGATGTACTCAAAATCCACCAAAACACACTAATGTGGCTTTTGTCTAAACGCACAGCCATAGTTTCTGGTATCGAAGTCTCCAAAGGTTTTAAAACCTCAAACATTATTCACCACATCATTCCTACAGCTGAGATTCTTTTAATAAGAAGTAAGGGGAGATTATTTTTTAGGCAAGTGGCGCATAATTAGCCTACCCTTGCCCCTCCCTCGCCTGTTGCTGTGCTCTGTTTACCACCTGGTTGAACTAAAGCCTTTTCTGATTTTTTTCTTTTTTCCCTATTTCCAGAAAAGATACATTCATCTAAGATGTAACCTCTAGTATTTTGTGGAATAACAGCTTTAAATTACTACAAAATCTAACATTTCAATTTCTATCTTCACTCATGTTGAGGTATTAAAATCTAAACCAAAGGTAAATATTAATTTTTTTTTTTTTTTTTTTTGCAAATGCTTGATTTTTGTTTCCAAAAACAAGCACTTGGTGGATGTTACACATTTTTAACTAAAACACGTGTCAATATTACAGATAAAAGATTGTTTTGTCTCTTATTATGCTGAATAAATAATTTTTACCGGTAGAATGACAGCCCCACCTCTCCTTGCTAGTATTAGCATTAGCCTTACAATATTTCCTTATCAGGTGTGGGGATAAATAAAACTACAGATCATGCTTTTACTGGCTGATTCTTACAGGCTTCACCAACTTTGTCCTGTAAATTAGGCTTTTAAAGAACTACATCACATAGAATAATTTTTGGATTTTCTGACAGAGGTTAAGACTGAAATACAAATCAATGGAATTACAAGCTCATTTATTTCAGCTGCACTTAATATAAACCCAACATTTCCATAAACATGGATGGTTTCTTCAAATATTTCAAACTTTTCTCTGAAATTTAAAGGGTGCTTCATATTTCATTATTATTATTGTTTATTTTTGTCCAAACTCCTTTAGTATTTTTAAAGATGTCTCTAAGAATGTCTCAACTATATTTCATTATAGTCTCATCATAAGAATTATGATTCTAGATTAACTTTTATTCTAGTTTCATTAAAATGAAAAGACGTCCTAAAAGTAAATCTGCTTTATGCATTTAGAGACGCTCCCTCTGCCTTCACACCAGGTTCTTAGTTTTGCTGCTTTTTTTTTTAAATATAAGCGGAGAAAAAAAAGATTGATGACTGAATAGGAAAAAAATGTCTGACCTGACTCCTATATCTGGTGGTTCAACACCTGCAACTTATTCTATTCTCCACTAAATAACATCTCAGCAGTCCTTATCCACAGCCATATTGCACACAATCACGCTGGAATAAAACTGAAAGCATGAGCATCTGATTTCATTTCTTGTAAGATCTAGTTTGTCCTATTAACATGATTTGCTGTTTTCATGACTCCCTTTTCTGACCTTATGCTGACCTCTTAAAATTGAACAGTAATGATGATCAGATTAAAGCAAACAGAGCTTTGGTAGAAAAGTATCAGGATCTGCAGATATCCAAATTAAACTAACAGAACTGGATCGGAAATAAAAAATGTGGATCGGTGCGTCCTTAACGTTTACTCCAGGCTCTCATATTGGGAAAATATCCCGCTGAGACCGAGTCTATTAGCAGACCCGGTCATTTAAAAAAATAGCTGCTGCCAGAAGAGCCCAACAATGTCATTAAGAGGAGGTATTGATGTGGTCAGCTGCTGCTCAGTCATTAGAAAGCAGCATGTGGGTCTTTTAGTGGACATCTGAGGCTCAGCCACAGGACTGATAACACTTTGACCTCCAGCTTCTAAAGCTCACATATGCACAAACACCCAGAAACATCTACAAACTGTTAGGCAGTCTGTACATGTATATGTTTTTATATAATCAAAACTACTGAACCTTTAATTTATTTAAAGACACAACTAACCTTGGATCAATGTGTGAAAACAGGGATTAAATCATTGTGACAGAAAACACACACAGCACTCAGACGGCTCTGCGGACGCAGCAGGACACGCCCTCCTCAGGGGACCGGCCCCGCTGTCCCCACCCTCCACAGCACAGAAATCTCCCACGAGACGGAGCATAAGCAAGAGCAAAGGAATCGGGGGCACCACGCCCCCACCCACACACCTCTAAAACCGGTCATTAGCGTCCCAAAGTGTCCACACAGAGACATAAAGAGAAACAGAGCTGTCCCCCCCATCTTTCCATCCTCCAACCCACAGCCCCCACTAACACCATGCAATTAGTGGCTCTCACTCATCTATCCTCTCCCTTTCTGTCTGTACATTAACATCTCCATGCTTTAGCTCTGTCATCGTCATCATATAGTCGTCTGACTGAGCGGCGGAGGATTACAGACGAGAGAAGACTTCAGACACACCCAAAAACACTGAGCAGCCAAACTTTATCTCTGACCCCTCCCTTCTTTTCTAATTATCTCACATTATTTCCTCCGTCTATCCATCATTCTCTCACTCGTTGTTGTGTGACGGGCCCCCGGCGAAAGTCAAGCTGTAATTATGTTAACGTGCCCATGTGACTACTTCCTGTCTGGAAGAGCCTCATATCCTGCTCCCAGGGGCGTCTTTAGCTGGCAAAAAGAAAATTCTTTCGTACCATACGTCAGCGAGGAAAACAGTTTCCCATGCTTGGCCGTGTCAACAACCAGCTCTGAGGCTTTTTGTTTGTGGAGTGAGAAACATCTCCACCTGATGAAACAATGTAAGGCAAGGCTTTTAGAAATCTCAAGGAACCTCAATTTTAGGTCTAAAATCTTCTTGAATTAAACACAAAGCTACTGTCAGTACATCAGACTGCACATAAGAAACGTTTTAGTTAGTGTTTTATCAAATTAACAACTGCCCGTGTTCACAGATGGTGATATACATCTATAAATAAATAAACTAATTATTTAATAGCCTCTGATTTTACATTCTGACATATTAGGACTGCAAAGTTTGATGCATTCTGATGCTGTGAATCTCTGCAGCTCCTCCAGAGTCACTGTGGATCTCTCTGCCAGCCTGTCAGGTCAACATTCAGAATTAGGGCTGCAACCAACGATTATTTTGCTAATCGATTAATCTGTCGATTATTTTTTGGATTAATAATCTGATTATTTCCGTAAAGAAGATTTTTTGCTAAATTAAACCAACTGAAAGCAAATCTTTTCCACTTGAGCATTTCTGGATAAAGTATATTGCCAGTAAAAAAGATTTTCATCCTAAATGCAAAATATTTACACTTTTTTTCCCACAATTTTGGTATAATTAGTGCTCTAAGTGTGTTGCTATGTAAGGTAAAGACGTGTTTTAGAGTCTCTAAACTCCAGTTAACGATTAATCCATTACCACATTTGGTTAAAGATGAATTCAATAATCAATTAATTACAATTAATCCGATTAACTCTTTCAACCCTTTTCAGAACATGAGAGACGTTCCTCTCCCTGACCCGTCTGCTGGGTTCTCTGGTCTCCATCACGCTGTTTTTCCGTAATGTTCTCCAACAAAGCTCTGACAACAAACCAGCTGCATTTATATGCTGATTAAATCACCCACAGGAGGGATTGGGTGATATTTCTAAAGGCTGCTGGTTGAACTGGTGACAGAGTAAAAAACTCTTCATTTTTCTGTCGTTCTATTCAATAAATTGCTATAAAGCACTTGCATTATATTGCATTATAGCAATAATATAAAGCACATTAAATTTTGCTTTTGAGAAGGGATTGAAGGCTTTAGCATGCATGGATCTTCAATCTGACTCAATGCTCAGGTATTTTGACCATTTGTTCTCCTTTAATTCATCATTTCACCGATTTAACATCTTTTGCCGACAACTTTCCAGAATCCTGACATCCTGCCTCTCCTGAGGCTGCAGTGCCTCCCCACAGCTGCAGGATTAGCATAAATAAAGCAGGCATCCATCAATAGGAGTTACTGCTCAGTCAGCTTCTCTCTCCGCTGCCTCACCTGTGGACATAATGGAGCTGATGAACGGAGTCGATGGCCAGCACCATCTCAGCAAGGTAGAACTTGGCCATTTCTTCAGGCAGCCGGTCCTCAAACTTGCTCAGCAGAGTCAGCAGGTCGCCACCCACGTAGTAGTCCATGACCAGGTACTGGAGAGGCACAGAGTCAAATACAGGACGACATCAAGAAGGGAAAACAGAAAAATAAACGTCTTTTCCACATTTCCGCAAACCTTCACCTAAAATAGCCCCTTTTTCTTTTGGGGTTTACCTAAAAATAAATGGCTGAACGGGACTGCGGTGTGCATTTCTAAAGCCTCGGGGAGGCATCCAGCGTTTGTTGTGAGAATGTGGGATATGGAATGACAAGCAGTTCTGGCATTTGAACTCAGGGTCATGCAGAGAGGACAAACTGTCAGGCTACAGGGAGAAGCAACGAACGCAGCCACCGTTTAAAGTGAGACAAAGTGCCTCAGGAACCGCTCCGAATATTTTCTTTGTATCAAACATAAACAAATCTAATCAGGCTTTCTATCGTCTTTACTAGTTGATGCCGATTTGCACAGCAGAGAGAATCACTGGGATGAGCCGCATCTGGATCTCTACCACACATCCTGTAGGAGGTTGGAGCTCTAAAAACAACCTTAAAGGTGAAATAGCCAAACTGACTGGTTACCATGGAAACCTACGCACACAAACAGAGCTGTGTAGCATGACACAGCATATGAACACCAGTCACAAAGCAGGATATGCAATGTGACAGACATCACCCACATTAATCTGATGAGCAACCCCGATGCTCACCAGATTAAAAGCATAACTCATGCAATCTGGGTTGATCCATTTAGCTAGAAAATCTTAAAAACTTTTAGCAATATTATTTAAGTGGCGCTGCAGAGGAAGAAGTTTTCTAGGTTACCAGATTATTGTCGTCCTGGAAGGCATAGTGCAGGGTGGTGATCCACTGGCTGTCTCCGTTCACCAAGACGTCTCGCTCCTCTCGAAAACACGCCGTCTGAGGGAAAAAGATCAAACTCCGGTCAGTCAGTTTTTTTAGTTTAATTTGAGATTAGCGAGGCTGAAGGTCAGAAATCAGTCAATATTTATTTTATTAATCCTGAAATCTATACAGCTATATCGCAGTAGTTTAAAATATCACACATTGATACATTTAAAGCTTTTATTTATGATAATTACAAGTCGAACATTATTTTAGCGGATTGAAAAACTTCTTCAGACCAATAAAACAGGAAGGAAAAAGTGTAGTTTAAAAAAAAAAGTCCACCAGAAAACACAGCCGCCAAACACCAATGCGCCAAGGAAACAGAGTTTGGCCAGAACCAGAGATGACGCCTGGGGTCAGAAAAAGCAGCAGATTGATGCCAACTCCTTTTTCTAACCATAGATCTGTCTGGCTGCTTTATCAGGAAACCATAGTCCCAGAGTTTCAAGGAAGAGTGAAGAGGATTTGAGTCCAGTGAGAACAACCATTCTGGTTCTGGACTACTGGGTTCCATCTAGTCAACAGGCAGCAAACCAGTCCACCAGGAACATTTACAGACATTCATGCTTCCTTCTGACAAACATTATAGAGATGATGTTATTTAACAACAAGACCTGGTACTGATCCACACTGTCAAATGGACCTGAAGCTGTCCTATTGGATTCAGCTAACCAGTCTGACTTGAACCCCACAGAGAAACACTTCAACACCCACCTAATTTGAAGTAATCCTCGCCTATTTTGCATACCCAAATGGAAAAGCAAAATATCTGAGGAACTGTAAGCCCACATTACAGGCGTGATACATCATTGAAAGGTAACACCTTTTAGTTTCAGAATTGTGTGACTAAAACACAGCCCAGGCTGCATCAGTTCAAACATGACTCAAAGTTCTTCTTGAAAACAATAGGTCATTTTGGAACAGCGGTAATAAAGACATGTTTGGGAATAGGCATGTCTCATTGTTTTGCAATCGTTCTACATCATGTCAACCACAAATGCAAGAAAATTCCAGACCTCTAGCTACAACAGTTCCAGAGCTGTGGGGCTTTGAACTTTTGGTGTCACCAGCTTCACCAAACCTCTCCAATTGTGCCAAATTGTGCCGCAAATGCTTCTACCCAACTATTTGACCCATAGAATAACACTGAAGCATTTTGATGACCACAAAACATTTATGCAGGGAAGTATTTTCCACTTTTCCCCCCCAGAATCAGTGTATATAACAACGTATAGTCAGTCAGTGTAACAACAGTGTATTTCACTCTTACGCAATCCGGTAACAAAGCTCCTCTTTATCCAAACCATCCATGTCTACCCTGGTTTGAAACCTTATTTCATTGGCTACAAAGCCAAACAGCTCACATGGTCTTAACCAATAACAGCAGGACTCTATGAGGCGTAATATCACTCTACTCGTTGTGTCATTTGCTAACAGGTAAGAAGCACTTGTAAGACTTCATCGGCCATCCCTGACTCAAATCGAGTCATATAAAGATGCGGATACCTTTGTCTTGTAGGTAAGAAGACGATGTAAAGAAACAAACCAAACACTGCAGCCTAACATTTCAGGAAGTCAGCCTTATTAACAAGATGCTAAGCATTAGCTATGACCAGCTAATTTTTCTGAAGTGAAAAAAACTGACTTTATGTGGTAATTTTCTCAGCATGGAATATCTTTAATATGAATATTCTGCATTACTTTTAATCTGTGGACCCTTATGTAGGAATGGAATATAAACAATTGAAGATTCTTCGAAGATTCTTCTGGACACCTTCAAAGCTATGTTGTTGTAGCTGCTCTGTTTCCATTTTCTATATCTGTGTTAATTGTGCTTTGGTGCTCGCTGTGTCCATAAAATGAACTTGGTGCTTGGATTGTGGAGAATCTAAGATTTTCAACGATGTCTAACATGTCTATATTGGTAAAAATGTTACCTTTGTACTGAGCTGTTAGTTGTAAACCATATAAAAACAGTCGCCGGCGATAGGTGGATTTTAAGAGGTTATTAGATGAACTGATTCCATTGAATTTAAAGATTTTATAGCCTTAAAAAGTAATAAAATGAGGAGAGTTCCAGAACATCCCTCTGGGTGTGATGAATCCAAAAGTATATATCTCCGCCTGCATTTGCTGGCACATCTAAAGATCGTGGAGCGTTTAGGCTTTTTACCATGTGACGTATGAGTCATTCTATTCAGGGACCCAGAAGAACCACAAAAATGTGAGAATGTCAGGAAGAAGCTGATGAGAACAACATGCAGCGGCGGCTCAGGCTGCGACACGTTCTGCCATCCATCAACTGCTGTTTGATTAAAAAACTGCTAAACGGAGGATGTGGGTTCTACTGACACAGGGCCTTTTCTTCTTCTTTTTTAATCCATCATTTTCCATGAAATTTTTCCATAATTAGCACAACGGCCTGCTATGCATAAGCAATGTTAAGGTGCTACTAACCTCTGCTCGCTTCAGCATTTCCCACTTGTTCAGGATCTTCATGGCGAAAACCTTGTCTGTGTTTTTCACTTTTACCACCGCCACCTGGGAAAAGAAAGGAGACGTGTACTTTCAGGACGACTGGCTTTAAGAACACATTATTTAGAATAATTTGATGTCATCCTGCAGAGGAAAGGAGCTGAAGCTGAAAACAGGAGCTGCAGAAACAGTTGCAGATCATCACATTTGAAAGGTTGAAATAAACAAGCGACATCAGTGCCTGAACTTGGGGAAAAGCTTTATGAAGTATTAAATAGTAATACTTCATAGTTCAAAGTTAAGGCTTATATAAACAATTTAACTCTAGATTGAGATCTGAAAAGAAACCCTTAGAAGAACAGTTCTAGTGTTGGTCATGTTATGAAATGATAGATTCCCAGATTATGATGAGAAGCAGCCCGGATGAGAGTCGGCTTATTGAGGTTGGACTGTACCCTCTGTTAGAGTCAGCTGATCATCTGATCAGGACGCCTTCTTTGGAGGCTTCCAGGCCCCTCCCACTGAGATGAGGCATCAGGGCTGTCCCAGACCACCCTGGAGGGACAATAACCCTTCATATAATCCCCCCAGAATAAGCTGCAGACAGGGACGCCTGGGTTACCCGGTTCTCTCCTGGATGATATTTATGGTTTTAACAGAAATATCTCTGCACCTGTCAGTGGATCTCAGCTACCTGCTGGAGGCGGTCAGGTCATATGTGAATGATAAACCTGTTATGCTTCCCTTTGGACCAATCCGGTCATTTATGGATTCTTCTTGTGTTTTCAGAAAGTTCCAGCTAACAGGAACTAAGCTAAGCTATGAGAGATCAGTGAAACAGTTGCTAAAGAAGTATTTCCTATATGCTTATCAATACATCTACTCCTCCCAAAACATTAACCATGACACAGACCATAAGGATCCAGATACAGAGACTGTAAGGTTGCCATGATCATTTTCACATTGAAGGAGCTTTTCCACATGCCCTCTGATTCAGGAACATTAGAACAGGCAGTCTGGATCATAGTGAAGTTACAATGAGAGTTCATGCAGTGTGAATCGAACCCCAGACCTGAAGTAAGACGATGGACCCTTCTAATAGGACATCTAAGGGTTTTTAATCAAAAATGAAGATTATTAATTTAGAAACCTGTTTCATTCCCATAATAAACACCCGCCTGCTGCAGAACATGAGGCGCTTTCTAAAGCAGACAATAAAATCATATATCCTGGAATATTTAGAGGAACAATTATCTCTATTAAAAGGTAAAAAGGAACCTCTGAACCCTACTGCACCTCAGGGAGATTTACCATACATAGATATCTAAGATAATCCTGTAATGTGTTGATCTTTATGAAAGATGTGTGATGAATTAGGACACTGATTCCCTAACCTTTTCTAAAAAGAGTCATAAATATTTTAAATAGGTTGTAATGAACTTGAAGAGCAGGCCGCAGATCTTCCGAGCAATGTTTCCTTTTATAGCGGCTTTTGTCGCTGATGCCTGAAGATCAACTGTGTTGTAACAACCCACATCGCCATCCCACCAACATTAACAACTGCCAGCTTTCCCTGGCTGCTAATTGCTAAACATAGCCCTGAAAAACTTGCTCAGCTCCAGCTTTACAGTTTGCCAAAAAAGGAGCTGTAGAAGCTGCAGCGACAAACCGCTGAGAGCAGACAGTCAGCACAGGATTCACCATAGATCTTCAACACAGCACTGAACCACTCTTTCCAAAACATTAGATTCTAAAGTTTCGATGTAAAAATGCTTAAAGAATTTTTGACAAACAGAAGGAGGAAGAGGGGAAACAAACGGAGCAGCTCTGTGAAACAGAGGGTCTGCGTTCTATTAAATTAACCAGGGGAATGCTGCTAATGCAATACAATGATAACATTCCTGCAGTGTTTGGATTTCCCCCCGGTGATCTCTCACTACAGAGGAGGAATGAGGGAGGAGGACACAAGGAAAGGGGAGTGAAATGATCTTGGAGATGTTTTTGTTCTCTCCTCGACCTCCATTATTCCCCTCTTCTATTCCAATATTCAGCTCGGTTAAAAACGACAACCATGAGAGAAAAAAATTATTCAGCTCTAAATGATCTGAGGTATTCATTAAATGCTATAAATAAGGAATAACTACTATACAGTTTAAAAGTAAATGGCAAACCATCCTCTGACCAATCAGCTAAGATCCACAATAAAAGGTCTCATCCTCTGACCTTTGAAACTTTTTTGTTTCTCCACATTGTTTGCTAAACATAGTTTGTTGCAATCTTTCCCTCTCTTCCTCCCTTTAACTAAAAAGGTCAACAACATAAGAAATCTAAACACATTTTCCCCATTAAATCAAAACATTTCCAAACTATTTGTTTGCATAATTTTACCTGTTGAGGACCAGTCCTGACTAATCACTCCTAAAACACCTTTAACCCTTTATAGGCAAATGAGTGAAATCCTTTGAAAATCAACATTTAAGCCAATAGTATTATTGGAATCCAGAATAAGACCTTATTACCTTTGTAACATTCAAAATGTATGGATATTTTGATAGCAAAAATTAATGTCAATGTAATAACAAGAAACGTCAACTCGCCTAATTATATTAAGAAAAATAACAAAAATGCTTCTATAAGAAATTCATTAAAAAACACTGTGAAAAACAAATTGTGTTTTTCTTTTGGTCTAACATAACCTTAAAGGCATTAATGCTGATACTGGCACTTACATTTTTTTATTTATAAACCTTAATATAATTGTTAACTAGGCATATTAACTTTTTAACTTTACTTTTTAAGTTTTCAATTAACTTTTTGCCTTTTTTTCTTGACTTGTTAACTTTCAAGGGCTAATCTAACTGGTCAAATGCCAAACTAAGATGTGCAGCTATGTAGCAGTATCTTTGCTGAATGGCTAGATATAGATATTGTGCTTCTAGACTTCATTGAGGGACGGGGGGACTCCATTTGTAAGGGGGATGCAAGTGATCAAAAACGACAACTTGCCCTATAAGGGGTTAAGAAGTCGGACTGTTAGAAAACTGGGTCTTAAGTAATATGTGGAAATATACATTTTATTTTGTTGAACTCAAATAATTGACCTGAAGTATTTTTTTTTACCATGAGGGCCTAAATAAGGAAATGACATCACACAAAATGCATCTCCTTTTTTAAACATCCCATCTGTACTGGGATCAATGTTCTGCTTGACACCGCTCATTATTTCTGACATTGCATCTCGTTAAAAAGAAGTACCCCATCAGTACCCCATCATTCATCGGAGACACTGTTGATGGTAGGGCTGCAACTAACGATTATTTACCAAATCGATTCATCTGTCGATTACTTTTTCAATTAATTGATTAATTAGATTAATAGCCAAAGTTTCCTTAAAGATTTTCTTTGCAAAATTAAACCAGGTGAAACCATTTGTCGTTCTAAATAATGCAAATTGACAGATGTAAAAGTTTTTTTTTTCCATCTTAAAAGCAAAATATTTAAATATTTTTTTAACAACTTTTGTACAATTGCTGCTCTCAGGTGGTCGCTCTGTCAGCTAAAGGCATGTTTTACAGTCTCTATACTCGAGTTAAGGATTAATCGATGACTAAATCAGTTGACGAGTATTTCAATAATAGATTAATCACGATCAATCTGACTGTTTCAGCCCTAGTTGATGGAGAGGAACAGTTGTTTATAGGGAATATTTCTTCCATCTTCATTTCTTACTTATTGTTCCTCTAATTATTTTGTAAAGTTCAAAAAGTAAACCAGAGTCTGCAAAAAAAGACAGATTGGAGTTAAATTAGTCAGAAAATCTCTTATTAAAGTATCTCAGCTGAAGGCTCCTGACCAAGACCTTCACATGCCAGCCCTGTGTGAACTAAATAAAGAGTTAAGAAATATTTTCTGCAGCATAATGCTAGTTGCAGACATATCCACATGCACTACTTGCTCATTAGTGTTTTAATTAGATCCAAACTGTAGAGAATCAGAGGACTACTTTAAATACTGACAATCTCATTATCAACCCAATAATGACTCAATCAGCTCCAGTAAAATGTCGGACATATTTTAGTGGGACACTCATTTTATGCAAGACTTCAGGCTAAGAATTCAATACTTGTCCCTTCAGCATTCCTCTTCCTTGACATCATTACCTGAAACCCAATGACACATGCATTTTTTCATCCATCATGTGAAAAAACACTGCAGCCTTTTTCATGGTCCAGGAAGTGAACAATAAGGGTTCAGGAGAATCTCTTCCAGACACCTGGGAAAATATGGCCGCCTTAAAAAAACAACAGACTTTGTGACGTCCTCTGTCACCTGTAACCAACACTGAGGACATTCTGAGCATTTGCAGAATATTTATTTGCAGAAAACTCAGTCAACAAAGGATAAGTCCGGTTTCTGAGCGTATGCACAATAATTGTTTCCATACCACAAATTCTTAGGTCTTTAAAACGGCTAATTTAAAATAACTTCTCTTTTTTAATCATGATCTTTGCTCTGTTTTCTTCCACTTGGTTTAGTTTCATTTTCTTAAGACAAGTAGAACAAATTTAGAAGAAAGCAACACTTTATCCTTGTTAATGCACAAACTGCTGTTTCCTGACCAATCTTTAAAAACCCTGACCTTCCCATTCTGATTCAAGCAGTGTTAACACTGCCTGTTGTTCCCAAGTGCAATGTTCCAAGCTTATTTTATTTAATAAACTTTGCACAATATCAGTTATAATATGAAATAAACAAAAAATATCTGCAAAGGAGGAAGAGCTCTCAAAAATAATGGCTGACTGTCAGACCTTTGCAGAGGAAGATAAGACCTGTCCCTTTGAGGATTACCCAAAATGAACGGATGCTAAACAGCATCAGACAACAGGTGATGTCAGAGAAAAATGTGGTTTTTTTTTATTCCTGAACGTACTTCTGCAAAGTGATTGAGTTTCCTGAAATGAACTGGCCATGGCCTCTAGAAATCCACGTTGATCCCTATCTGTGACGGACGGCAGAGGAGGACTCTTTATTAAGCCACAGCCTCAGAGGCAGCTGGAAGCACAGCGCTGACTAGAACAGCCTCTGTTAGCGAAGGAGAACTATCTTTTTCTCACACAGGGTAAGTGATTTGACAGTCAAAACCAAAACTGGCTGAGTATGGCCAGAGACGGCCCAGCTTCAGTAAAAACAGCCTCTGGGTAATGTTTGGAGTAACACACTGGAGCCAGCTGTTATCAGAGGAGCAGTCGTCCTCTGAAACTCAGCCTTTTCAGATTAGTCCCATAGTTCTTTAATCAGAAATAAAATGATGGGCATGAAAAGCACAGGGTCTTACCTCTCCGAAGGCTCCTCTTCCAATGACCTTCAGGATCTCAAAGTCTTCCTTGTGCAGACGCATCTGCTTCACTTTGGAAGTGAAAGGTTTGGCTGAAGGAATAAGAGGAGGAAATGGTGGAATTAGTTAAATAAAAAACAAGGGCTTTTTCTTGCTTGTAAGACATAGAAGTATAACAGGAAAAAACTCAACGACCTAAATCAGAAAGAAGCTCTTAATATAAAGCTGGAGATGTGGAGTCCCAATTCTCACTGTATCTCATCAGCAGTGTAAAGTCCTTTCATTGACCTGCTAGAGAACATTTGTGGTGTATCGCTGACCCTCCCCCACATATTGCTACACATTCCAAGTAAAACCGGTGAACGGAATGAGTCTACTCTTTTTTTCCAATCATACAATATAGACAAACTAGAGATCTTTAGGGATGCATGGCAATATCTAATGCTTTCTGTAACATTTATTATCATTGTGTCATTTTCATCATGTTGATGGAGGAAGAAAAAGCTAAAGCAGCCAATCATGGATCAGTTAGACTGATCAGGACAAATCAGGAGAGCAATGATTTCTGTTACAAAAAGTTATGCTTTCATAATTTAGGAACAAAACAAATCAGTTTCTTATTTTTTAATTTAAGCAAATGGATTTGAGTCATGCTTGTTTTGAATTTTCTGTGAATACATTTGAAACTGATTGTTATTCAACATCATGAGCAGTTTGCTTTATCTGATCTTTATCGGATCATGAAGCTATAACATTTAAAAAGGGGAACATTAGAAAAAGAAAATCATAAAGTTAAACTGAAAAAACAAAAGTATTTCACAGTCTCCTGATAAAAACCAACTTCCCCTGAAGAAGCAGCCAGATATCTGGGGTCTGGCATGCCGACTGATTTGGGTTTATTAGTTTGAAAGATGCAACCACAAAAAAATATGGCTTTATGCATTTCCTAGCTGAGGAAACCCAACTTCACTTAATTGTGTCTGAAGGTTTGAAAAAAATATATTTTAGCATAAAATTATCATGAATGAACTTATTGATTTATATTCCCTAACATCTAATTTGTTTCTGTGCTTTTTATTTATTATGATCATCATTATTATTATTATTATAACTACGTATTTATTTGCACTGCCCTTGAGCTGCTATTTAATCACACTGTGCCTGTTTTGCACAATAACAATAAAAGGAATTCTGATTATAATATAAATGTATATATAAACAATCAAAAGTTTATGTAAAATAGAGCAGAATTAGTGATAAATGATAATTATTCTGTTTCCAATCAAATCCAGGCTGTCGTGTGGGAATAAAATGAAAGCAGGTTGCAGCAGTTAATCATTTGCATGCGAGGCTCAAAATAAGCTGTTTATGGAACAATATAAACGTCAACGCTCCCATATCTGCGGCCGCACGGCCTCCTAAACGGGTTTTATCACAGAGTTGGTGACCACCTGGTCCTCTCTGCAGTAAGTGACACCGGACGCAGAGAGGCTGCATGATAAAGTTTGCCATTGTTGTGCCCACAGTTAGGGTTCCTGATGGGAAAAAAGGGATTAGGGAGGGATCCGCGACGGCTGCCAACGTTCTCCACAGATTTCATCTATGTTGACAGAGTCAGCATTTCCCTCATTTGTGGAAAACTATTCAGGCCACATCCTGGTTTACATGCTCCCAGCATGACAAGGACAGACTGGATTGCCCCACAAGTTCACCAAGGCCAGCGTCTTAGATTAACTGATATCACTGTTGTTTCTAAATATTTGGGGGGAAAGAAACCCAGACGCATCGCTCATTTTGTTTATACATAGAAAACTTCCTGTGGTCAGAGGCTGATGGCATCTCCATACAAACATCGCCTCAGTGATTTCAGCTGCTGTGAGTAAGGGAGCATTTCACCAGCTAAGCTAACACCTTGGCCTGTCTGTGATCCCACTCTGGCCAAACATCATGCTAAACTTACTGCCCCTGCTTCTAGTGCTGAAGGAGAGGATGTTCTCCCACTGTGAAATGGGGAAATGCCTGCTGAAATAAAACAAACAGGTCCCTCAATGGTCGACAATCTCTCTCCCTCTCAGTTTTTCCTGGCCCGAACCTGCAGAGGGAGAGTCGCTTCTGCAGAGCAAAGAAATCACAACAGTTCTGCTGCGCCAGGTAGGATGCACCTGACTCATGTAGGAATAAGTGGCCAAATTCAAAGGAATGAACTGCAAAAATTGACCTAAAAAGAAGTAAAAATGTCTTAAAATAATAGTTTTCAACCTTAATTTAACAGGTAAATCCAATTTAATGAGTACTTGGGTTCTCAAAATAAATTAATTAGATATTATGCACCAGGAATAAGGAATATGGGGCTGCTCTTTTCTTATTTTGTTGGGAAAAATCACTGATTTCAAGAAAAATTGTGTTATATAGATTACATTTCTGTAGTGCATGCAGAACTTCTACACAAGGCTTACATAAATTATTCAGATTTTTCAGACTAATTTAGAGCTTTTTATGTTTTTTTAGCCGCATTTACAAAGTTATTAGTAGACTGATCCAGCAGGGTAGAGCTGGAGGGCAAAAAAAAAAAAAAAAAAAGGACAGGAGGAGGCGAAGCCTGGACGGATGAGAGATCATTTTTAATGATGTCAGATTATACTGTCTTTTCTTTTTTCCATAATTTAGATCAAATCTTAGACAGCTCCAAAATGAATTGTTGTCCTAAAATTGCCCTGATGATTTTATTAGTGTCATCTACTGGTACATAACATAAGCGCTCCATCTCCAAATCCACCGTTTTGTAGCACAAATATCAATAAATCTAAAAATTAGAGCCAGTTTATTAAGCAAAACACATTATTCTATATTATCTGCTCCACTGGGCATTCTTGTTTCTTTGCTACAGTTAAGTCTCTTCTTTATGCATTTACCAATAAGTCAATTTAGAGAATTAGAACAAAGTCTTTCTTCTTTAACTGGTCACTTTCTTCTACAGCTAATTACGAAATGAACGACGTGTTAAAGCTTCACAGGGGTGCGTGGAAAACTAATCAATGAAGACTAATTACTAGCTAACAAACCTAGCAGCAGACAGAGGCAGCTGGAAAGCAAAACACAGCACAGCTCTTGGAGAACCTAATAAGGTTCTGCAAGAAGAAGAAAATAAGTGGATATTTTCACCGTTTTAGGATTGATCTATGTATTGATTGCAATGTAGTAACTGACATGATGCAATAAATCACTGCACTGCTGACACACACCCACTGATGCTCCATCAAAGCAGCAAACTTTATACCAAATCTTATCATAGGACCAAATGACTAACTGTTCTGTATTCTAATCAGGATTGCTCTGGGATGCATGTAACTGATCTGACGCCAGCTGGAGAACTAGACTGTATGCTAGCATTAACTGCAATGATCCAGTGAATTTGGACCCATTTTATATAATTAAACATAAATACATAAATTTATCTGCTTGTATGGAAAAGAGTTTGATACGCTGTTTAGGTTAGAAAATGGAAAATAGAAGCTGCTGTGCAGAAAACATCATTCAGTAACAAATGGTACAACTAAAAAAAAAAAAAAAGGCAGTAAGAACAAAGTTTGAATTGTTTTTTTCTCCCTGAAGGTTCGGGTGAAACAGCCAAAAACACTTTGATTAGAACGGTTTTCAAACTAATTCTTCTTTTTAATAGAAATAGATTCTTCTGTTAACATTTGCTCCATAAAAGTGACTTGCTTTGATTGAACTGTTGGATAAAAAAAAAGAAGAAAAAAAAAAAAGCTGAGTTTTTTCCAGATCTTGACAAAATAAATTGTGACAATCAATAGTCTGACATTTTCAATGGAGACCCCTGGCCCCGTCGTTTTACTGGTTCTGGCTCCAGCATCCTCTCCTCTTCAGCTCTTGGCACAGAGTTTTGAATGTTCCTTGGAATACTGAACAACTTCCATCTATCTTTTTTTGGCATCAACTTCCTTTTCACTTCAGAAGGCTGGCTTTGTCAACCCAACTGGGTATGGCCCCTCTGTTGATGCACAAAGACCCACTGGTACCACCCGTCCTAATAAGAGGATCACACAATACTACACTCTGTTGGCACACTGCATGCTACAGCCATGAACCGACTGTATTTACTCCCATTAAAAGTTTACACTTTGTCTGGATATTTTTCAACACATTTGTAAAGGATTTAAGGTGAGCTGAAAATCTCATCCCAGTTGATTAAAACATCTACTGCTACAATTAACCATGAGATTGCACAAAGTGAAATAAGGAAATAAATTTGCTAAATTGAAACAAAGCAGTTTGGGAAAAATATCACATTCCTCAACGCTTCGATAAGGTCTTCTTATCTTTGCAAAACTGCAATTTAATCACTTTTCCAAGTCATGTGATCTGCAACTAAACCTTACGTGGTAAAAAGAAAAAGAAGAACGGAAGCTGTTATATGGATATGACTTATGTGGTTTTATCCAAGATGCCATTTTGATTTTAATAAAACATGTGAATAAATGTATTCACATGCTAATTTAACCTTATAGAGAAACGCAATTTTGAAACTTTGCATTTTAAAATTTAGCAGATTATCGACAGTTTCGTGTAGCCTGTTAAACCAGACTAAATGTGAGATTAAATGTGTAATTTAGTCTGGCCCCGATGAATGAGACATCGGAAGATTGTTAATGAGAACAACCCGTTGTTTTTCAAACCATGTCTGTGCCTATTGGCCAACGCTCTGACCAATGAGCGCAACTGACTGCGACGTAGTAAGCGCGACAGAAAGCTGGTGGGGGAGTGTAAACAAACAGCCTGTCGGTAAAACGGCGAATTCGTCCTTCTTAAATATTAATGAGCGTAGAGCCTCTTCCTGCTCATGTTTCAATGAAAACCCCATTGATCGAGGCTAGAACACTTGCAGGCAAAAATGATTTTGGCTGTTAGCAGGTAGGGCTAGTTTACTAGGCTAAGTTTTGTGCCCCCTTTAATGGAAACGCAGCTATTGATGACCTGAGGCGCTTCCTTTGCAGTGCTGCAAAATTAAAAGAAAACTTCCTTTATTTGCAGAACTATTTCCATTCTTCCTATAAAAATCTGACCCTGCTAA